GTTTCAGGGCTTTGAAGAAGGGTAACCCCTTATCCGAAGCTCTGGAAATGAACCTCGAGAGGGCTGCCATTCTTCCGGTGAGCCGCTGAACATCCCGCTTCGTTTTCGGCTCAGGAAGGTCGAGCGCCGCTTTGACTTTAGAGGGATTGGCATCAATCCCCCTTTTGCTGACCATGAAACCCAGGAATTTCCCTGACTTCACGCCGAAGACACACTTCTTCGGATTCAGCTTCATTTGATGCTTTCTCAAGGTGGCGAAAGTTTCAGCCAGGTCCTTTACATGGTCCTCTAGTTTTCTGCTTTTGACGATCGAATCGTCAACATAGACTTCCATGTTTCGGCCCTTTTGATCGGCGAAAACTTGATCCACCAGCCTTTGATAGGTTGCCCCCGCATTTTTCAATCCGAAGGGCATCATTTTGTAATTATACACCCCAGCGTTCGTGACGAATGCTGTCTTGGCTCGATCGTCGGGGTGCATAAAGATCTGATGATACCCCGAGAATGCGTCCATGAAACTAAGCAAGGCATGGCCACTTGTCGAATCGACTAGCTGATCGATTCTCGGCAAGGGATAGAAATCCTTTGGACAAGCCTTATTTAGGTCCGTGAAGTCAACGCACATCCTCCAGGTACCATTGGGCTTCTGAACCATCACCACATTTGCCAGCCATTCCGGATATTGGCAAGGTTCAATGAACCCTGCCTCCAATAATTTTTTGACTTCGGCTGCGATGTCTCGGTTCTTATTGGCGGAGTAATTCCGCTTCTTTTGCTTAACTGGTCGACACGTTGGGTCAACATTAAGCTTATGGGAGATGAGGTCTGAACTTATCCCGGGCATATCAGCTGCCGAGAAAGCAAACACATCTCTGTTATCCCGAAGGAGCTGAATAAGTTCACAACGGGTGTTAGGATCAAGGTCCATCCCGATTGTTACACATTTCTCAGCATCTCCTTCGGCCAACTCAACTGTTTCAGTCTGTTGGTCCATGTCCATTGCCGATGGACTGGACTCTTCAGAATCTGGTCTGCTGCCAATGTCAGCAGGTGTCCCAGTCTTTGTGTTCTTCGGCTTGCTCTCTGAGTCTTGCGGCTCAGCTGAAGAGTCAACCTTTTCCCTTTCGGGACCTTTTTCTCTGGGCACGGATCCTTGGGCCGAAGCACTTAGGCCTTTCGGCTTTTTTGTGCTTGGCTCTCTTTCTTTTTCTTTCTCCTCCTCATCCTTGTCGTCATCTGGGCGACTACTGGATGGCTTGAGGTAGTTGCACCTTCGGGCGTCCTTTTGGTTGCCCTGTATCCTTTCGGGGAAGCCGGCGTCTGAGACGTAAATCATCAGCTGATGATAAGTTGAGACGACCCCTTGGATCTCGTGAATTATGGGTCTCCCCAAAATCACGTTGTACACTGAAGGAGCGTCGATGACCAAAAACTTAATCATGACGTTCCGGGCTGCCTCATCGCAACCGATGGTGACAGGAAGTGTCACCTTCCCATCTGGATAAGTTGAAGCCCCATTGAACCCGGATACCGGATAGGGTACCGGCGTAAGGTGCTTGGGCTTCAGCTTAATTTGATTGTAGGCCTTTCGGAACAGAATGTTTGCTCCGCTGCCACCGTCAACAAGGACCTTACTGACGTCGTGGTTGGCCACCGTGGCGATGATCACCAACGGATCCTCGTGAGGGAACGTAATCCCCCGGCAGTCGGCGGCTGTGAACGTCATGTTCGGCACCGGCGACTGGGGAGATTGAATGTCAGCGTTGTTCACCTGGTGAGTCAAAGCTCTAAGGTGACGCTTGTGCTCCCTCCGAGAGTATATTCCTCCCGAGATAACATTGATCGGAGGGAATTTCCCCTCCGGTTTTTTACTGTTTTTCCGGGGGAAATCAAGGTCCTGCCGAGGGTCCTTTGCTGGCCTCTCGGATTCTTTTTTCTCGCGGTGATCCGCGATGTATTTTTTTAAGTATCCCTTCCGGACCATGTCCTCTATCTGGTCCTTCAGCTGGATACACTCCTCAGTGTTGTGGCCCGAAGACTCGTGGAACTCACACCACTGATTTTTATTTTTTCGCTGATACCACTCTGGGAGTGGTCTCGGCTTTCGGTAACTCTGCTCCTCCTTCGTCACACTGTAAATTTTGGCGCGTGGAAGAGAGAGCGGAGTGTAGGACTCGTATCTGCCTGTGTATGAGGCAAACCTGTCCTTCTTTAGGTCATTGGCCAAAGATGGCTCCGGAGCCTTTGATTTTCCCTTTGCCTTATGGCCTTGGCCTTCAGACAAGGGTATTTGCCTCTGTTTCCCTCCCCCGGATTGAGGTTGGGTTTTTGCTTTATTCCATTCTTCGGCTCGGATGAACTTATCCGAAGCACTAAGAGCTTCCTCCAAGGTCTGCGGGGTATGCATGACCATGAAGTCTAGGAATTTTCCTGGCTGAAGGCCATTCTGCATTGCAAAAACAGCTAACCCCTGGTCCAGCTGGGAGACGCTTGATGACTCGTTACTGAAACGGGTCAGGTAGTCTCGGAGGCTTTCGGTTTCCCCCTGTTGCAGACTCATGAGCTCTGCGGTAGTCTTCTCTCGGCGGTTTGCCGTGGAAAACTTGCTCCTGAACTTGGAGGACAGATCATCCCAACCTGTTATGGAGCCTTGCCTTACTCCCTTGGAGATCCACGCTTGCGCGACCCCCTTGAGAGTGGTTGGGAAATATTTGCACCAAGTCGCCTCGGATCTGGGGCAAAGATGCATATGAGTCTCATACGAGGCCACGTGGTCCTTCGGATCCGTGGTCCCGTCATATGTGATATGCGACGGTATTTTAACCGTGGGTACGCGCTCTTCCAGTATCCATTGCTCGAATGGTGAACTAGCGGGTAGCATAACGGCCTTGCCCTTGTTCCTGGCCGAAGGGACCGCGCTCCGCCCTCTTAGAGAGGTAGGAGTGGTTTTCGTCCCTGGCTGGGAAGTCTGGGCCTCGGCTGCAGGGAACGAGAGGCGACTACGCACGCTCGGTTCCTGGCCACCGAGTCGGTCAAGGACGCTTCTGCGAACAGTCTCAGGTTCTCGGCGAGTAGATTCTGGCCGAGAAGCTGAGCTGCTGCTCTTATGCGCTTCTGGTCTTGAGGATGAGGATCCTTTAAATACTTGAGGGTTCTTTTTCCTCTGTTTTTCATTTTTCCAAGAATCCTCCTCCCACTCTTCCAGTTCCCGGAAGGAAGGAAGCTTCCCACCGTCATGGTCTAACTTCCTCCGCTGATGCCGGGTATGCGGAGGAGTTCGATCACGAGGCGGTGGCATATTCTGTGCCCTCATTGCCTCCATGAGTACTGCCAGCGCTCTTGCCACCTCTTCCGAACTGGGCCCCGTCAAAGGGGTCCTCGGCCGAGTGTGGGAATGAGGCCGTGCAGCCGATGGTTGGCTTTGGGACACTGAATACGTCCTATGATCAGACTGACCCCTGCTAGACCGAGAGTGGTCCGGCCTATATTGAGAGTCATGCATTACAGGAGATAGGGAATCCTCCTTGTATGATCCTCCCCCCGAGCCGGCACCCTTGGGAGAGTTCCGGTCCGGCGAGGGCGATGGTGTAGGGGTTTTAGGCTTTTCGCCCGCTTCTTGACGGAGGCTTTTGCTCTTGCGGTTCTTAGCCATGGCTGCTAAGATAATTGCAAGATGATCTTGGTTAGGAATTTGGCTTAAAGATTTTTGAAAGTCTTCCCCACAGACGACGCCAAATTGTTTCGGTTGAAAACAATGGGACCTTGCCGAAGGTCCGCTGAAATGGAGAAGACTGGATTCGGTCCAAGTTGTGTTGGGCCGAAGGTTTCCTGCGCAGTGAACACACGTAAACTAGCCTCGGGGGTGTTTCCGAGGAAGGCCCCTCCGATGCTAAAGTCAGTACAATGTATCTAAGGAAGACACTATGCAAGAGAGTTTGTAGCTTGAGGCTTTTGTGGAATATTTCTGAATGCAAGAATGAGCATATGAATCTGAACGTGAATGTATGAATGTGTCAATATGATGGCTTTTATACCTCATCATACATGGTGAGGTTGGGCCTTAGCCCAATTGGCATGCTTTGTAGGCTGACTTTTGACTTTTGTGCAATTGGAGAGTTGAACCTTGACCTTGGGCTTTTAATTGGATCATTTAGTGCTTAGGCCCAATTTTGACTAAATTGGACCCAAACAGATGTCATCTTTTTTTTTTTTTTTTTTTATATTTATATTGGGGGTTAGGGTATTTTTATTATCTAACATAGAAATATTCTAACTACCATTAAATAGTATGATCTTTTAATCTATGCATGCAAGGGTGTAATTTTGTGAAGATATTCTTTATTACAGAGTGTAAATCTGATAAGGCAAAGATGAAGGGCTTGTATACAAGAAAAGTTAAATATTTAAATACCTCATCTACTAATTTGTAATGACCTTGTGAATCATCTACTAATTTGTAATGACCTTGTGAATCATACGAAAAAACAAACTTACAATAGAATGCAATTAATCAAGTTGACAGTGTTACTCTTAATTTTTTTTTAATTTTTATCGAGACTATGGATAAGTTAATGATGGATCTTTTACATTGACATGCAATTGCATAATACTCTCAAAATGTCCCCATGTGGTTGACTGGTTGAACAACAATAATTCACAAAAATGTTACCTAGAGTACAATTTTTTTATAACACCAAGTATGATACATTAGGTATACACATTTTAAACCACTATTAAAAGTTACTCGTATAATTTTTAAAAAGACGATGACATCGATCTGTAAACCGCCATATAAAGATATTAATGAATGCTACATAGTACAATCGAATTTATATGCAAGTTGCATAATCAAGTTGTTTGGTTGCGCAAGGCCCTTAAACAATCTGATCAATACTCTAATAATAGTTATTCGAGTTTGCTAGATGATTTAGATTTTAACTAGCCTTCTGGCCCGTGCAATGCACGACTTGTTCATGGAAAATTGCATTGAGAGATGAGTGAGGAAATACCAATAAATAATTATGAGTGTAATATGTAACTGAAAACATAATTAAAGAAATAAAAATTTTGGGAATTTAATTTAAAATGAGACTTAATAGAAAGAAGATGGAGGAACTAAAATCAAAGAGAGAAAATAAAAAGGTTGAATTAAAGAGGGAAGATGAAGATAAAGTGTTTAATGAAAGAGTTAAGAAGAATTGTATAATTAAAAATAAAAAATATAAAACGACATGTGGCACATTGAGTTGAAGAAGATGATAGGAAAGTGTAATAGAATGATGACATATGTGTTTTTGGTTTTCTTTTTTAAATACTAAATATAGATATAGATTATGCATGGAATTCGGTTTGACTTTAGTGCGTAATCTATGCAATACAACTAGTAAGCAAAATTACGACACTAAAGTGATCTTTTTTCTCCCTTAAAAACATCATTCCTGTGAAAGAGATATACTTGATCCGTTACTAACCAAAAAAATATTGTCTTTACTTGGTAAACCACAATCACTAATATTGTCCCCCATACCTTTTATACACGTGTCCAACTTTATTTCTTTTCAAATAATTCAAATCAAATCTGTTATACCAATATATATACGCATTCAAATTCCTGGCTCTATTAGTGGCCGGCACATTTGCCTCTGATTATTTTCGTCATTCTTCTAGAAAAAAGAATGTTTCACTGAAATTATCTTCCAATATTCTATCACCCCTATAAAAGTTTCTTCTATCCTCCCTATAAATTTTCCTTTCTTTTTATAGAAATTGAAAACATGTCATCAAACCAAAGTTTGGAAAATCGAAATTACGAAGATCATGATTGTAATGAAGAGGAAAGAGAATTGGAAGAAGCGTTATCGCTGTCTGATCTTCCAATCTGTAGTAGTACTGGGAATCAAGATGATGGTGGTGGAGTAAAAGATGAAGAGAACAAGAATGAAGAGGATGATTTGGAATTTGATTTCGATTTTGGTTCCGGTTCTCTTGTCGGGTCAAGTACAGCACCAGAAGGCGAAATGTGTGCAGCTGATGAGGTGTTCTCGGGTGGCTTGATGCTGCCTTACCGCAACTCGGTCATTTCGATGTCCGGGTTGCGGAGTGTGTCTAGGTCCGAGTCTATGGACCGTAGAACGTTTGGGTCTAGGTGCAGTAGTAGTAGAAGTAGTAGTATTAGAAGTCATTACTCTGCTACTAGTAGTAGTGGTAGTAGTAGTTGTTCTAATAACACGACAATCAGTGCCAAAACTGTTCCTTTGGTATCAAAATCGTCTAATAAGGTTGTTCAAAATCAATTCCACTCGTACCCGAGCCCAAAACCTCAAATTTTGGGCACGGGTCCGCGTTTTTCAGCCTACACAGCCTCACCCATAGGGAAAAAATCGAAAATGTGGGACGTCTTAAAGCTAGGACTAGTTCGTACCCCAGAGATTGAGCTACAAGATCTCAAGCTATGTCACCACCGTACAAACAATTTTGGTAAGACATTCACAATTCCTCGTAATAACAGTACGGGTAGCAGTAGTAGTAGCAGTAGCAATAGAGCCGGCAACAATAACAACGACCGTCCTCGAAAGTCGTGCGAATTCGTGTCGGAGATGCAAAGGAGGAAGAGTCAGTTACATGAAATCAATAACGGTGGATTCTTTAAGAGCTGCAAATGCACAATTGGGGTAATAGAACCAATTCCCACCACACCAAAGTATAATACCGTTGTTAAGAGTGGTTATTTTGGTAGTAACAAGTTTGGAAAAGGCCAAGTTTTAAATGAAGACAAGAATTCAGCACAAAAGAAACATCATCTGCTACAACAACAGCAACAACAACAGCAGCAACAACAGAGAAGAAACAACCAAATCCGACAAGAAAAGAAAGTCACGTCACATCATCATCATCATGAACATCGTACATTTGAATGGCTAAAGAATCTTTCCCATGCAAGCATCCTTAATACGAGTAATTCTTAAGTTTTAGGAAAACTCTAATTCAAGAAATTTAGATTCTTCCACGAGGTTTATTTACGCATGCCAATTTTTTTTTTTTTTTTAAATTTAATTCTTTTGCCATGTTTTTATATTTTATTTTGTAAACAGGAGATCGATGTACAATGGAGTTAACTTTTTTAATAACAGTAATTTCTTTTGGTTGTATAATTTTGTCTTTAATTTGAAATGTGTGATTAGTAATCATATCAGGAGCTCATGTTAAGGTGGGAATGATGAAGTCTATATAAAACGACTAGGTATATTTGCAAATCTTAGTTGCGATTTGGCAATATTGGCATACCACTGACCACATACATTCTTCTAAACTAGGCGCCTAGGCATGTCCATACGCACTACAATTAAGTCTACATTTTTTGTCAATTTTGTACCTAACTAAGAGGCACTTCCTCACAATATAAAACACTATTTTAGAATAGTCGTTGACTCATTGAACACAAGTACACAACTGTGTTCTAATAAAAATTGTTTTCATGAACCAAAACGATGAATTACTTTATAATAATAAAAAGTCCTAATTATTCTAATATAGATTAGCTGATAACTCGTATTGATTATAACAGTATTCAAAATTTATTTCAATAAGTCTTTACATTGATTTAAAATTCACCAATTGTCCTTCATATACATTAGGTATACATTAGGTATACACATTAATGAATGCTACATAGTACAATCAAATTTATATGCAAGTTGCATAATCAAGTTGTTTAGTTGCGCAAGGCCCTTAAACAATCTGATCAATACTCTAATAATAGTTATTCGAATTTGCTAGATGATTTAGATTTAGTTGCGCAAGGGCGCTTTTGTTGTATATTTTTTTTTACAAACTTTTGCTGTACAATTTGTTTAAATGATTACAAGCATTGTCTAAAACTATGTATCTCTTTATCATGCTAACATTATTAGCAAATAATACAAGCTAATTAAGTGTATATAGTACTTGAGCAATTATGTTTAGTACAACATAATTCCCTCAATTTATCATCAAATTTAAAATTTTTGAGCATAAATTACATTATAAATATGTATATAAATGGGTGACATACTAAAAAAGAAAAGAAAAGTAGAAGGCGTGTGCTAAAGGGAGGGATAATTTGAAACAGTGGCCTTAGAGAGGTGGTGGTGGTGGTATCATGATTAAAGTGTGAAAAGAGTTAAAAATATTTATGGATGATGCTTGCTTTTCTATGGTATATGAATAGAAAATGGTCTCTCGTGACATAGGACAGTGGTGCAAATGCTGTATAAAAAGCTAAGTAGTCACATTATTATAAAATGTTGCAACGGCGTGGATTACAAAAGCTAAAAAATCTATCAGAAACAATTATGTTTTTTTTTTTTTTTTTTTTTTTTTTTTTTTTTTTTTTGTAGTAGTATTACTTATCATGTAGTTGTGAGAATTTATACCATAGAATGAAGTTGACTTTATAAAAAATGACTAATGAGGTCGGATTCAATCATTAAAATGGTACCTTAAATGTTTATAAAAGGTGTTTGTAGAATCATCAAAATTCATAACTGGTTGTCTATAGTACCCACATAAAATCTTCATAGGATGCCTTGCTTACTACTAGCAGTTGCAAAAAGTACTTGTACTGTTGCTAGCTTCTTTGGATTTTATTATCTTTACAAGTTAAGTATAAAATTTGATTTACGGATCTTATAAGGGTTATGTTCCTTCTTTACTTTACACCTAAATTTCTTTGGATGGAAACCCTAAAAGTTTAGGATGTGAACTTAAAGGATATTTCTCACTTTAATATTGATGTTATTTTCAAAGTTTTGTAACGCTTGCTTGACTATACTAAAATAACGATAATGGTAATAAAATAATGATAAGGCTATGAGAGTCATTGATAAAATAGTACAAGTAGATACTACAATATGTAATATTACAAGATACTACGTACTAAACTTGGCTATTTTGTAAGTATTCTATCAAATTGTTGATAAACAATTAACAATAAGAACACCGTCACCATTCGAATACTTTTGCTCCACATTTATTATTTCATATTACCCATAATATTATGTTTAGACCCACACAATTTTACACCTGGCCTTGACAAACTCATGCTCTCCAACAAATAATACTTCTTATTTACATACTAGTTGGATTTGGGTAAAGCTAAAGCTGGTTATAACTTATAAGTTATAAGGTTGAATGAAATTTTTTACATATACCCAAGTGTATACCGTATATAGATTCTAGAGTTATATGCACCATTTTTTTCCCCCTAATTTAATTATACTTTACTTTCTTTTTTCTTTTTTCTTTTTTTTTTTGGAAGGAATATTTTACTCACTTTAAATCCCTATACATGCGAATAAAACTTACCCGAGGTTCTTTATTTGAAGTCAAATTTTCAAGCCATATAGGGTCCAACATAAGAATAGGCCCAGTCCATACATTTGAATATAATGGGCATAAAGCCCTGAAATAAATTGGACCTTTATCCATTCTAGAGTCCGGCCTTATAAAATTAAGCTTCAATCCCTTGAAATAGCAAAACTGGTATGCGAGAGGGAGAGAGTAAAAGATGTTCGTTCACAGTTCTGCGGAAGGAGGAATTCAGGTAATTAATGATTCGATTTCTCCTATAAAATAATTTACATTTGAATGTCTGATAAGCATTTCTTTAATTTCTGGTAAATACGAGAACTATGAATAACTTGTTCAAACTCCATTTAATGATAATAATATGAAATTTGTTTCAGTTTGAAGAATTTCTTGAACAATTGATGTCTTTTGGTATAACGCAATTTAGTTCCTCGCTAATTGTTTGTGGCTACGTGTTTCTTTTTACAAAATATACGTGAATTATGGAGAGGAAATTGCCGGACATGATCATCCTCGTATAATCGTATTCATGTTGTTTTTCGAATCTTATTGTGAGGCAAAATTGATTAAATCAGGAAGATTAATATGAAATGAAGTGAATATTTTGTGTATGTTATGAAATCTAGGAGATTGCTCGGTGATAAATTTTCTAAACCACCTCTTCTTTTATAGTTTGTGAAATGAACTTAGCAGCCTTTATACAGTTTATATTTACTCTTACATTCTGTTGAATGGTGATTATTATCCTTGCAAAATATGCCACCCTCTTTTTTGAGTGAAATTTTTTGTATCAACTCCTAACACTTTAATATCAAGTTTAGGCCTTGGATATTTAATGGTTTATGATTTCCCTCAAAAAAAAAAAAAAAAAAAAAAAAAAAGGGGTTTATCAAGGATATCTTGTTGAAATTTCACCCAAATTAGTGCATTTGGAACAGAGAAGATGGAGGAGATGAGAGATTGAGAGGATTGTGGGAATTATTTGGCTTTGAAATGAGATGGAATGTGGAATTCCCAAGTTTGCATCAGGATTTTACTTCGAAAGTAACAAGAATCACCTCAGTCTAGAGTGCTAGACCAGTTCTCCTATCTAAATGACCTCTCTTCTTTCTTGTCCAAGACAATGTGTAACTGTGTAAGGCTCAAAAAATAAAGTTGGAAAAATCAAGTCTTCTTGTGTTGGGCTTGCTGATCAGTATAGTGGTGGTGTTTGGATTGGGATTGGTTAAAGCTTCTGCCACTCGTTTCCTTTTGTCATGCTCTTATGTGTATCTGTGTTAGTTCTTCTTGCTGTGCCAGGAGACGAGCTCTTTTAGTTTGCTTCAACAACTGAGACTCTTAGAGTTCCATGACCGTGGTGATGGCATTAATTGGAGTTTTTACCTGTGTGCTATTGCACTATAAATGGCTTAATTTACATCGTAGTTCCCTTGTTGAGTGTCTTACATGCTATGTACCTGGATAAATAAATTATGCACGGATATGTTTGCCTGTGTTGTGTGACAAATTTTATTTTGTTGCTACAATGCTCTTCTGTTTGATCTTCGAACTTCTTAACTGCTGCTTTGACATACCATCACCAAATCTAAATCCTGCTTCTGCTTTTAGTATCCTTAATTCGTTTCATAACCCAATGTACTATTCTAGCTTTCATGTTGTTAGTGTTAGAACTATTCTAGCTTTCATGTTGCATCTTTGAAAACATGAAATTATCCTGTATTCCTGTGTATTCTGTAGTTCCTTTGCATAGACATGAACAATAGAAAAATATTATGAACCAAAGACTAAGCACGATGTTACGGTATACTTTCGATGCTTCAATCTTTAATTCTTGCAGTCTTCAGTCTAATTTAAGCTTCAATACTATGACCAGCCTTCAGACTTTTTCGGTAAACATTAGATAATGCAGCTGCCACAAACTAGTTTAGTTTGGTCATTATTTGTGGTGCATAGATGGATTTCTGATGCAATTATTGCATTCTTTTCTATCATTTCGCTTAGTGTCAAGAGCAATAAAGATGTTTAATTGGAGAGCTTTTCCCTGAATCTAAAACTGTTTACTGTTTACCAAAAGTATGGAGCATCAATTCCTCTAAAAGAACTAGAATCAAAGCAGGGCCCTTGATGGCTTTTTGAAGCACTTAAATGGTGAAGTGGCCCTTGGGATATTTCAAACAAACACAAGAGAGAATATGTATTGTTTCGGCAAAAAATGAGCTAACCGGGCCTTGAAGGGGTGTCTGAGAACCTCGAATTTGGGCCTTGAATGGACCTGCAAAATGAACCCCGAGCCCCGGGGGTTGAACCCGGGGCGGAGCCTCCGACGCCCAAGTTAGTTGCCAAACAATGCATATTTTGGCAACTAACTTGGGCGTCGGAGGCTCCGCCCCGGGTTCAACCCCCGGGGCTCGGGGTTCATTTTGCAGGTCCATTCAAGGCCCAAATTCGAGGTTCTCAGACACCCCTCCAAGGCCCGGTTAGCTCATTTTTTGCCGAAACAATTTGGCGTCGTCTGTGGGGAGACGAGTACTACTACCCATGAAAATCCACTAATTCATGGCTATTGTGTTCTATCACGAAAAAGGGTCAAAATTTCTAGCAAATTTAACCCAAAATTATTACTCCTGTCAAAAGGGGTAATCATTCTTGCAAATGGTGGAGATGATAGATAAACATTTTGATTTGTCGCCAATCTAACCACTACTAACAAGGTACTTCGTGCCTTTACAAAAAAAATTGGGAAATATTCCATGAATATGGTCAAACCTTAATTATTCTTGAAGAAGAATAAAAGCTAGATCTACGTGGCTCTAATGGAAAGCTCACAAAAGCAAGCCTTTCATTCACACCACCAAGTTGAAGAGGCAGCAGGTGGCATGAAACATACATAAAAAATCAATCAAGTTTATGTAAATTCAATGCTTGCCGAAGTAAATTGCCATTGTCTTCATCACAAGCTTCAAGCCTCACAACT